CTAACAAAGAGGTGAACTTAGCTAAGCACTCAGTAAGTGCATGATCAATAATCAAATTTGAAGCAATTAATGGGAAATAATGTATTCCTGATTTCTCAAAGAATACAATAAAACTTACCTGTAGCATGATCATATAATAATGTACTAGTCTATTTTGAAAAGGGGTCACAAGCTATTTGATTTAGAAAATTATGCTACACAATTTCACTGCATTTTGCCACCAACCAATTAATCATTAGGGTGGACTATAAAAAAATCAATATATATACAGTGTTTATATATTGTACATGCATAAGTAAATATTGCATTCATCTTACTTGGTAAGTGTGATCATGAGAATTCGTGTCTCGAGCAAGTGAAAGGGGTGAAGTTGTTCTCCATGTCAAAGCCTGCCATTAACTTTTCAAAGGCCTCAATATGGATACACTTGCCATAAACAGCAATAGCTGCAGTCAGCCCTATGAGAAGTATTTTACAAACGAATACAAATAATTTATTAGCTTACAACAGAAATGGAAGATGTTGGTCAAAGGTACAGGGTCCCAATTCAAAACATTTCACACATTGGGCCGCAAAGACTAATTAACTGTTACATGCCAAGAAAAACAAAATCCAACTTGCAGACTGTGAGACTAATCATAGGCAACAATACCAGTAAATAGTCAACTTCTGAGAAAAGAGTATGCAAGCTGTTGCCTGATGTGTTAGTAATTTAGTATTAAAAAGTAATGCTCTTAATGTGCTGGTGATGGATAGGTTCATACATTAAAAAATATGGCTTGAACAGGGTTGAGGAATCTTATTAAATTTTTTTCCTAACATATCATTTCACCTACTTGATGAACTTACTATGTCCTGCGACTGTTGATGAGAGCGACTGTAAAAAATTTGTCCACCTTATGCTGTCAACACAGTTAAAATTATGATACATCCAGATGTTCTTCCTTGGTTCTCGGTTGACAAGCACATATTTGGTTTCCTGGTGGTACAGTATATAAAAAAATTTACAGTTAAGGTGGAAATCAAGCTCATGGTTGACACTTTTGTCAATACAGCTGCCTGTAAAATCTAATAATGTGAAAGGAAAAACAAAGGAATTGTTTAGTTTTTGGGTTAGGCTGAAAGGAAATATAGATTGATATTGGATAATCCATAAGAAAGAAAATTAGGGAAAATATAACAGTTTAACAGGGCATTTGTGCAGACATTATTTATCAAAAGTACACTGCAACATTACCAAGGTATGAAAATGGAGCAACGTGAACTTTCTTAATCATTTAACTCTTAAAAACACTGTATGCCTGAACATGTCCTTTCGAACAGG